CTATACGAGTTAAAATTACCTACAAAATAGCAGTCCACCAAAAAAAACCCAGGATTTTACCGTTGTATCCCCCAGACTGTACAGGACATGTGACTAAGAATTGTTGGTAGATTTTCCGGAAATGTTTTAGACTTAAAAAAAGAGAAAAAAAAAAGAAAAAAAAAATTAGAAGTGAAAAAAGCGTCAAACGTTTGAAACATTCAGTGCTTGACTTTGGTGAGCAGCAATGCAAATAGATGAGGCCGGAGTCTAACAATGCAGTTTGTGGGAGGGAAAATTTATGCAAGAGAGCTTTGCAGGCGGTAAACATATGGCCGCGTAATTCTAAAACTTGTGTATTTGAGTTTTGGATCTGACCTCGTTCGTTAATGTTGACCTTTTTGACCTTTTTTAAGGGAATACTGATGTGTCATGTTTTATTGGGGGGAGGTTGGGATTCTAATACACACACACACACACACACACACACACACACACACACACACACACACACACACACTCTACCTCACCTCGTGTCTGTCTGTTCATACTTCATTTCAAAGAATACATCAGTGCAGTGGGGAAGATTTTTACGCCCAATTACACGTTCTCTTTCTCCCGGTGAGCACAGTGACCCTTACCGAAAGATCTCATTGATATATAAAATTTCAAAAAGTGATTAACCTGGAGTTTTATTCTGGTCGTGCCATATCACCTGAGTATAGGGAATCACAGGTAAAGGTGTGACGACTATTTAACGACGAAACCAATACATGAGTCGTCCTTTGCCATAGACTGAAAACCTACACAAGTTATATAGATGTTTGAGGACGGGATTTTATCTTTAGCAGATTGTTCAAACAAAAAAGTACTCAGACCCAAAAGAAGGAGATGCAGAAACAAGGTCGTAAATAGTTATAGAAGAGATAGAAGGAGGGGAAAAAAGTGATATGTGGTTTAAGAGAGAGAGAGAGAGAGAGAGAGAGAGAGAGAGAGAGAGATATTTCCATCAACAGGTACAGCTCTCATGTTTACATTGTCATCACGTTCACTGGTTGTAATATGTGGAACCAAAGACCCGACTGAACAGCAAGTGGATATTGTGTGTGTGTGTGTGTGTGTGTTTTACTAGTGAGTGGCGGTGTGGGAAGAGTATGTCCATGTACGTGTGGATGTGTGGATGGATTGGTTGGATTTTTGACTTATTCTATTTGTATGAGTGGGTATCAGTGTGAGGGGGGGTGTGTACTTATTTATGTGGGTATAATTATCCACACATTATAACTGTATTCTTGTGTCTATTATCAGTTCTGACACACACACACACACACACACACACACACACACACACACACACACACACACACACACACACACACACACACACACACACACACACACACACACACACACACACACACACACACACACACACACACCCACCCAACAGATGTGTGTTAGTGTAAATATATGTCGTAGTGAATATTGTCTTGCCCGAGTGATTCACCACACTAGAGTGAATACTAATATGTCTACTCAAGTGAACTGAGGAGGAGGAGGAAGGAAAAGAAGAGGAGGAGGAGGAGAAGAAGAATAAGAATAAGATTACGAACAAGAAAATTAAGAACAAGAAATACAAAACATAAAAACAAACAACAGCAAACAAAGACACATACACAAGTCTCCTCTAACACAAATATCAGAACAAAAAAACTATCCCCGGCATTTGTCAGTTTACTCTCGTGACTAAAAAATATCGTTTCCATTAAATTTCCAGCGAATAATTGATAATCTCTTTTATTTAGTTGATTACAATCTCATTTTTCCTTCAACTTATTTGTCAATTTCAAGATGAGAATTATTACCATAAACCACAACTTCTGTTTTTTCATTTACTTGATTGCAAACTGTTTATTTTATTTATTTTTTGTCATGAACGATATACACAGATTTGTCAGCCATTAGTGTTATAAAAATGGCCTCGAAAAATATCAGGTTGATTTTGTAAATATTATATGAGAGGTATGTGTATATATTGCTGTTGTGTTATATTTCATTAACCATCTACCACAACTATCACTTTCTTCCACTCACCACTCCGTCCCACTCATCTGCTCACCACTCCTTCCCACTCACCATACACAACAACATATTCCTTGCCTCTATATTTCACCACTACTCTCTCCCAATCACCATACATAATCCCACACACTTCTCTCTCACCACCACTCCATCCCACTCACTACCCTCTCACCTCCCTCCCACTCACCTCATAGTTGCCTCACCTTCTTTCTCACACCCAATCGAGTTTTTCCAAGAGGGTTCATCCTACGCTCCTCTCCCACTCCCACGGCTCGTTAACTCCTCTTCCGGTGATCAGGTCCGCTACTCTCTCTACTCCCAAACAGTTGTATCATCCACTTATTTTTTGTGATTATTAAGGCGATTTGGTTACCAGTTGTAAGTTATATTTCTGTTTAATATTAGTTTTGTCTGACTTAGAACACACACACACACACACACACACACACACACACACACACACACACTAATAATAATCAAAATTACAGTCCCTGGCGTAATGTATTTTCTGAATCTTTTCGATGAGGTGAAAAAAAAAATTACAAAACCTCGTTGGTTGTAGTTAGTTCTCCGTCAATTCTATTCCCAGGTTTAATTGGACACACGAGTTATTCTCAAGACGCAAGAGGATTTAATCTTATATCACCGCTTCTAAAAAGAAAAATCTTGAAATATAAATTATGAGAACGGATTTCCTGTGTCCTGGTATTGTGCGCTGTACGATATTTAAGACCCGGCTGGAAGTGGCTGCCAGGCGTATGGTTCAGCTATAACTTATGTTGCTAAATATGGCCACAATATTAACACTTTTTGCAACTACTTTCACCAGTAAAATCCAATCTATACGGCCCATGAATACACTAGATCGCATTTATAAGCACCGTTTTATTTGGAATACGTTCAGAGAGGCGTTGGAAGGATGAGAATTACAGAGGAAACAATTGTTGGTTAAGTGAGTAATCGTGAAGGTGAAACTCATGTCAGGATAAATTTACCAGTGAGTTATTGTATTTATGATGAATCTGATTATTGCATTTAAGATCTCCTTCGTTATCTTACCATTACTAGACGTATTTAAGTTACGGTTAGGTTAGGTTTGATCTTTTAGTCTTGCTCTCAACACAACGGCTGTACCTGTCTGTGCGGACTGAAGGTAAATTGTCAGAGTATAGGACCAGACGCCTGCAGTACGCCATGCCGTTACCCTTCACTATATGGGTGGCACAGCTGCGCCACCTGAACGACGCGACCAAAATGACCAACAACAGTCACATATTGGCGTCATATGGCTTTTTTATTTTGCCTTTGCTTTTCTATCTCAAAAGCAAACACATTTACCTACCTGGGATTTATGGATACCTGACATAACCATATCATACAGCAACAGAAACTTGTTCACTGATGAAGCTTACTCGCAAACACACACACACACACACACACACACACACACACACACACGACCAGAACAATAGAATATAAGAACATAAGAATGGAGGAAACTGCAGAGGGCCTATTGGCCTATACTGGGCAGTCCCGTTTACACCCAACCCCTATTGCTCATATAAGCATCCAACCTATGTTTGAAGCTATTCAGCGTATTCGAGTTAATGATGATATTTGGTAACTTGTTCCATTCATCCACTACTCTGTTTCCAAACCAGTGTTTACCTATTTCACGCCAAAATCTAAATTTGTCTAATTTAAAACCATTGTTACGAGTTCGCTCCTGGTTGGATAGTTTGAGTACCTTTGTAATGTCCTCTTTGTTTAGCCCTGACTTCCACTTATACACCTCTATCCTTTGGGGTTTGTCTTCGCCTCCCTTGCTATCCTTACCTCATTATTCCTCTTGGCTTTCCTTATCTCGGTTTTAACCCTACTCGCCAATACCTTATAATAATCCCGGATGTAAATTTCGCCACGATTTATCCTTCTACCTATAGCCTTCCTTTGGCGAATGATGTTCTTTAAATAATTATTTATCCATTTAGGGTCATTGTTGTCTGATCTGAGTATTTTGTATGGTATGTTCTGCCTTTGTGCATTAAGTAACTCATTATTTAAATTGTCGTGGAACTCGGCAATCACAGATCTCGTTATCAGTTCGGTGTCATCTGTCAGGTTCACGGCCAGGCGCGACACCCCTTCTCTCAGCTGCCTCTTTAAACTGTCAAAGTTTGCCCTTCTGAAATCTGGTACTTTAGTGGAATTTTCCTTACGTCTGGCCTCAAAATCTCACTGGAATCTTATTTCTTTGTGTGTGTGTGTGTGTGTGTGTGTGTGTGTCAAGGGGAAGGTTCTTTGTCATAACAAATTGACATGGAAGCCACATTTACAGACTGAGACTGAGACTCAAACTCACACACTACGGGGGGGGGGGAACCGAGACACCATTACACACAGTCATCCCCGGAGGCCAGTATGGGTGAAAGAGAGAAAGATCCGGTAGATCAGTACAAGATAAAATTAATGCTGGGAACCGAAGCCGCTGAGAATGGTATAGGTAAGTAAAGAAGTGGTTCTGGTAGGCCTGAGGGGGCTGTTATGGGCAGTAGGGATACAGCACACTGAATACCTTACCTCGAGTCACAAGGAGGCATTGTGACCACCGACCATTAGGGCAAGAGGCGAACGCTGGCCAGGTAGTGAGTCGGTCGAAAATTGCCGCCGTATTTTCTTTCATAAAACTTGAAGCATAACGGGAAACGAGCTCCAGTTCACCATAGTTTTTTTTTTTTTTAAGAAATATATTTTTTAAAACTCGAATGTGTTATGAACTGTGCAGGTTTCACCAACACATGAAAAGACAGATTTTGGCTGGATGGGACCAACAACAACAACAACAACAACAACAAACAAACACACACACACACACACACACCCGAAACAATACTCCCATAACCTAACCTAACCTAACCTGACTCTCTGGTTGTGTTGCAGGCGCAGGTCGTGATGGTGAGCTTGTACCTCGCCTACTGCTGGCTCGGTGGTGAGTACTCTGCTCTTACTATTATATAACACTATTGATGATGCACCTAGACGATGATCCCTTTCTATTTAATTACGTCATTCTATTGTATTATAGTGTAAAGTAGACCAGAGGTGTGTGTGTGTGTGTGTGTAAAGTAGACCAAGTGTGTGTGTAAAGTAGACGAGATGTTTATGAGGTAGACAATGGAGGAATTAAAAGACGTAGGGGGGAGGTAGGGAAGAGGCGGAGGGAAGGGAGTAGGTTGGGGGGAGGAAGGAGAGGAGGTGGGGGGGGGGCAGGTGGTGAGCAGGGGAGGAGGTAAGAAGTAGGTGGGGGGGCGAGGAGGAGGAGGCGGGGGGGGGACGCGGTGATGGAGGAGGAGGGGGGGACGGGGTGATGGAGGAGGAGGCGGGGGAAAGGTGAAGGAGGAGGCGACGGGGGGTGAGGCGGTGAAGGAGGCGGGGGAGTAGGGTTAGAGGGAAGGAGAGGTTGGGGGGGGTGTATGTGGTGAGCAGGAGTGGAGGCAAGTAGGCAGGGGGGTAAGGGGGAGGAACAGGAGGTGGGGAGGAGGCAGGGGAGGTGGGGAGGAGGCAGGAGGTGGGGGCAGGGAGGGGAGGAGGCAGGAGGGGAGGAGGCAGGGGAGGTGGGGGAGGAGGTGGGGGAGGAGGCAGGGGAGGTGGGGAGGGAGGCAGGGGAGGTGGGGAGAAGGCAGGGAGATGGAGATTATTCCACACCGCCAGCTTCATCTTCGAGCATCAGGTGAACCGTTATGGGCACGTGACTCTTCTCCCACAAGCTGATCCTACTCTCACGGTCCTGTGTGTGTGTGTGTGTGTGTGTGTGTGTGTGTGTGTGTGTGTACATAGTTTGAGGTAATCATGAACATAACAAAGACAAATAACCCTGTTTAATAATCTTGCCTCTGTATTGCTGAATTACCTTAACATTGAGCTTAATTACTGTGGATTATCGATGAGAAAGATGGTTAGGTTAGGTTAGGTTAGGTGTCTATCCTTACTAGAACAATGCATCTATTTCTTCAGACGGATGTTCTTCAAGCAAAGTTCTTCATTATAATCAAGACAAATTTATGATTATCTTGTCTTACCACAACACTCATTCATCAGCTTAACTTTATAAAAACCATACAGTGTACACAAGTTAATATACACGAGAGGAACACAGTAATTCTCTATCATTCTTCCATTAATCTTCTATTCATATCTTCCTTCATAATTTACTCATTATTTCGTTGTTTTATTCACGTAAGATCTGCCACGACTTCCAAGGCAAATTTAAGATGGATTGGGTTGTGTGTTGGCGTGGCAGATTGTCCGAATTTCTGAGGCCAGATTAATGTTTACAATCAACGGAGAATTCCCTTACTAGTGTGAGCGATTTGCGTCGGTGGCAGTGAAACAGGTGAGAGGGGTAAGGAGGGAGAGAGGCGGGAAGGATAGAGAAAGGGGGAGAGGGGAGAAGGAAAGAAGGGGTGATGGAAAGAGGGAGAAGGGAGGGAAACAAAGGGGGCAGAAGAGAGTAAAGGAGAAAATGGGAAGAGAGAGAGAGAGGAAAGAATGGGAAAGAAAGATTGTCAGGGGTGAGAGGATCATCTGAGAAGAAGGTAAATGGGAGGGAAAAAGACCTAGAAAGGAGAGGGAGAGAGAGAGAGAGAGAGAGAGAGAGAGAGTGGGGGGAAGAGGACCATGGGGAGGGGAAGGAAGAGAGGACAGTTTATAAAGAGAAATGAGAGACTCAATACATCAGTCCCCAAACACCAATCAAAATCAATAAGAATTTTTTTTTATCACTGACTATTTCTGAGGTTAAAGGTCACCAATAGGTCACGTGGAGCTAAACGGAGAGGTCATATTACATTAGCCAGTGTTATCTTCTTTATTTAACAACCTTAATGCATTTTGTGGGTAGGTGTGAAAGATGCAAAGGTAGAATGGTTTTGTATTTTTTCAAGTGAGTTTTCCTTGACATAGAAGAGAACTAAGAATTCAACCTCTCTTTCACAGTCTGTCTGTCTGTCTGTCTGTCTGTGTCTGTTTATGGGTATGTGGATCTATCTATCTATCTATCGATCTATCTATCTATCTATCTATCTATCTGTATCTCTTAAATCATGGAATCTATCATCTAAGGGTTCATTCCTGCCTTTCCTTAAATGAACCAACTAGGAGGTATGCATGTACAGGTTCTATAAAAGACCCACCTTAATTAAGACATTTTCCTGCTCGTCTCTCCATGCTGTGGGAGACGCAACAGTTGCCTCGGTTGATGACTCGGCTCCCGTAAACTTTATACCAATTAATTACTAGAGAGTAATTTACTTCATAGGTATACAGGTATTTCCTAAAGTCTCTCTCACACACACACACACACACACACACACACACACACACACACACACACACACCATGTATGTGACAGACAGATATACATAGATATAGAAAACAGACATACTTAAAACAGATAGACAAAGACACAGACATACAGAAAGATAAACAGATATAGACATGTATACAGACAGACAGACAGACAGACAGACACATACCAACGACCCTAACAGAACCACACAAATTAGCTCAGTCGTCACGGTAGTTTGTCGCCCCCCCCAAAAAAATAAATAACTAGACGGGAATTTGAGGTTGTTGGCCGGGAGTGGTGTGGGAAGCCGGCCAGGATAATGACCTACTACAGAATCCCGGCAAAATAAAATTCGCTATTCAATTTAGGATTTGTGAATGAAGATGTTATTTTACGAGCTGCCGGGAAGATCAGGTGGGTGGGTGGGTGGGGTGTTGGTTGGTGTAGTATAAGTGTGGGTGCGGTGGGTGGGTGTGTTATGTAATATACTCGACAAGTTGCTTCATTACCTCTTCTATCTCTACTTCTCTCTTTTATCTAACACCCACACTCAATTACCTCTAACCTAACCTAACCATAAAAAAATATCATCACAATAATATTAAATTAAAGGAAATATCCCACGGTAATGGATCCATCAGCTCTCATAAAACTGACTAATATCACTGCTTAAAAAATACAAACTTTTTTTTCTCACTTTTAACATAACATCAAAATACAAAAATAAAACACGAATTATTCCCTGCGTGTTTCTGGTCATGGCTGTGTTCTGAAACTGTATGAATTAATATCTTGATCAATTACCGGGCCATACAAAATTCAGTATTCTAAACATTAAAGTTATCATTGGTGGAATAATGACGTTGTATACAAGGGTTGTGCCGACATTACTTTTGAAAAATATATCCGGTCATATCTTTTTAACACAACAATACGAGAGACCTGTTTCATGAACTGGATATTTCATTTATGGTGAATGTGTTTAATGGCTGGAATATATTTATCGTTGGTGCACCATGGTCATATATAAGGCCCAGGCGTACAGTACAGGTGATAATACACACACACACACACACACACACACACACACACACACACACACACACACTAAATACCGATAATTGTCTAACCAAACCATAAAATGCAACTGATGTTTTTTTTCCAAATAAGCTTAATTTTGTGTTTATAATTATAACTTATGGATAGTTGAAATATATTAAAATTTACTCCGTCGTTTACCACCATAACTAAACTATAACTAAAATAGGTTAATAAGTAGTTAGTTGTGATATTCATGTCAGTTTAAATCATCCTAATCTACATGACCATTCCTATAGAGTTAACAGCCTCAATTAAAAAAAAATATATCTAGAAATTATTATGTCTGGATATGTGGTGGAAGCTCAGGCGTAGACATATATTAGCCTCAGACATATATTCATACATATACAGTATTTATGTATACAGTATATGCATATAAGCACAAGCATAGACAAAGGATTACGACCATATATATATAACAGAACGTTCATGTGGAGGTGTATCCATTCTCTCTCTCTCTCTCTCTCTCTCTCTCTCTCTCTGTTGATTTATATATCTATTCATTATCATTCTTCCCACATCTATATATCTCAGTTGTCTCTCTATTTCCCTTCATCTATCTATGTCTCTCTCCACCTCTCATTCATTGTCTCCTATCCCCTGTTTCACACTTTTTCCCATCTCCTCCGTCTGTTTTAATTAGTCCTGTAAGATTTCTAGATCGACTCCCATTGAAGCTCACACAATGACCCTTTTGATAAATATTTCACCTGATATAACATAATGAATGTCACCTGTTGCTTATAATCACCTTTCCCCTCAGAGGATACAAAGAATGGTGTTGTCACTTCAATATTACACTAAGGAAATAAACCAGGTATTTTGATTTTCGTTAGTGCTATTTTAAATAAAGGTGTTAGAGGGAGAAGTAGAATTAATAATAATGTTGTTTTGAGTCACGACAGAACAATATGATTCTTTTAGACAACTGCCATGGATGATTCAGATGATTTCGTGGTATGTCGTGTGGTGAGTTGTCATGACTATTCAGTTTTATATGAGTAATTTAGGTCAAAGTTTTGGCTCTAGTTGGAGGTATAAGATTAATATGTATTTGTTTTACGTGTATTTGAACTTTTGAAGAGCTACTCATCAGGTCAGTTTAAGGTTTGAGACAACAGGGAGATAAGTTTTCTTTCTAGAATAACTTGGTAAATATCCGAGTCATTCACTATAACCAAACTGTTTCACCAAGAGTGCACGTGGCAAATAAACTTCCTTAGTCGACCAGATTTTATAAACCCATCCCTTAATGCTTGCGAAAATTTCAACTCCATTTTACTGGCTAAATTTTTACCTCCTCATCTGCTGCCAAAATTTCTCCCCTTTGGTAAAAATCTCCTCCGACTCCTATTGGCAAAAATCTCACAAGCTCCCCCCCCCCTCTCCCTTCCTCCCCCCGCACATCGCCAAATTACTCGATAGCATAATCTTTGGGGGGTGGGGGTGGGGGGTGTGTGTGAGAATTTTTGCAAGTTCACCGACGGGCAGGAGAGAGTTTCCCCCACTTGCACATAAACCATTCTTATCACAACTCTCAC